TTAAAAAATGCCATAAAAAGAAGCCAGGTTTCTTGGAGCTGGACCCAAGCGTTACGCAGAGTGGGTCTTACAGCTTTATTTCGTCTTCGGATCTCCGTGGCATGAAAAGGCCCATGGTGTACCTGGAAACCTGCTGGTTTGGCAGTTTTGAGCTGGGTTTTGAAACAACCCAACTGCCAAACCCACGGAGGTGTTTAACCCACACTGAACTCAGAGGCAGCGGGCAGGGGAGCAGGGAAGCATGGTGCCCCATGACTCGCAGCACCCCAGGAGTACAGGGCGCTTGGCCCCACACACGGGCATCCCTGGCTCATTGCCCGGCTTACTCGCGTGTTTTGTGCCATCCAGCATGTTTCGGACACCGGCACTGCACAGACCCACAGCCCCGGCACGCAGCTCATCCTCAGCCTCGCCATGTGCATCCCCTGCCATGCTGCAGCTCAGGATGCTGAATTCGGGGCTGCAAGGGACCGATAGCCTCTCACCACCCAGCATGGAGACACATGGTGATACCCAGTGTCTCGGCCTCCTCCCTCTGCAGCTTGTGCATGGCCCCAGCTCCCATGGGAGCACGAGAGCTTGAGTCTCCAGGGTCCTAACCCGGGGCTTCCCAGGGCGCAGCACCTCCCTAAACTCCACCAGGAGATGGGGTTCCTTCTTCCCCAAAACAGGAACCTCACAGAGGGTGAAAAGCTGTTGGCAGACACATCTGTGTGCATCTGGAGCTGCAGCTGCTGGAGGAAAACTCAGGGAGAATATTACAGCGCATGCCCACAGCCAAGGGCTGGTGGAGGAGAGGGCTGGAGGACAGAGGAAGGCTAACCACGTAAAGAGCTGCAGGGGGGTTCAAAAGGAAGCAAGTCCCTCATCAGGAGGCAGGTCCTGGTGCCTCATTAGGTGTTGGGAGCAGTGGTATGAGACCTTACTGCTCCCGTTCCTGGCAAATGCTCGAGCATTTTATACAGGTGCTGGGGGCAGCGGGGGCTTCCCCTGTGCAACAGCCGCTTGGGCCACCCCATCGGCCCATGCTTACCGTCCCCTACACTCACCTCCCCAGCAAATCCACCTCGGCCCTAATGTAACTGAGGATGAGATGCAAGAAGATCCTTTAATCAACCTGAACAGAGGATCCCTCATATCTCCCCCAAAAGCATTTCCCCCCATCTCCTTGGGGAAGGACTGGAGGGCAGCGAAAGGATGGGGCCAAGCCTTTCAGTTTCTGCCTGCATCCCACGCAGGAGTGTCTGGAGCCTGCGGGCTCCTCAACTCGCTCCCCTCCCTCAGAGGCCAGGGCATAATTCACATTTTATGAATGGAAAGCACCCTCGGCTATATTTAGCAGCAGCCTGGTCCCGAAGGGCAGGAGGAGCATTGCTTACTGACTTCAAGGGCTTGGAACAAGCCTGCCTTGTTATGTTTACAGCGCAGTGCTTTGCTGAAGAGGCCAAGAAAGCACCGAGTGGCTCATTCTTGAAGCCTGATGGATTAAGCAGACAGCCACAGTAATTCAAACCACATGGGGAAAGGGGAGAGGTGGCGGCGGGCGGGCTGGGGGGCCTCGAGGGGCTCCTGCCTTCCCCCGACCAGCCACAGGCTGCATTTAATCTGCTTTTCACAGCAGGTCCTGCAAGAGGAAACGCAGAGCTTTGCAGCTCCTGGAGGAGGCACTTCCCTGCCACGGGGAACATATGCTCCGTGTCGCGGCGGAGGAGCTGGTAGCATCGGCAGAACTGTTTATTTGCATAATCACTGATTAACAAAAATGTCTCGGACAGGCGCCAGCCATCCAGTTGTACGTTCTCGCTCGCAAGTCAGCAGCAACCATCTCTGCCGGATCCTACGATAACCCAACACACGTTGGGGAAACATGCACAGACCGTCCCACCGGCTCCGGCGAGCTGGGCTGCCTGCTCAGAGCTGGGCTGCCCACTGGAGCCCGTCTGGCAGCTCTTTGTGCTCCCGAACTGTATGTGGAGTTTTTCCCCATCCCCAAGGCAGCCAGCAGCATGGGTATAAAATGAAGCATGAAAAAACCCTTCACATCACTCCAAGAGCTGGGGATTTAAGAAAAGCATCAAATGGCTTAGGAGTCCTCAGGATAACTTACTCTGTGTGCAGCCGTGGCGTTGCATGAGCATTCCCAGGCGATGGCGAGGCTCGAAGGCAACGGGGATCCCCTGGTCCCGCAGGGCCGGGGTGCAGCTGGGGCTGCCTGGAGCCCCACCGCACCAAGGAGCCATTTCAGGTCCCGGAGGTGAGCGTACCTTCAAAAACATCAAGAAGAAAATAAAATCCTGGCTTTCCCTCCATGAAACAATATGCCAGAGGAACACGAAGTCTGGTCTTGGTGTGCCTCCCTTTCTGCCTGGGCTGTGCGGCGCTGTCCTGGCCGTTTGGAAGAAGGGCTGCTGCCATCTAGTGAGCTCAGCCACCAGCACCTTGCCTGCTGAGCACCGCTGCACTCATCACACCGCCTGCGCCCATGCTGCCCAGAGGCTCAGGCCAGCCCGGGAGCCGCACTGGGTGCTGAGTATCACCCGAGCATCTCTGGCCATCCCTGGGGGACATTTTCTGCCCAACTCAGGGTTTGGCTGGTTTTTTTAAACAGCCATTGCATTGCATTTTGCCCTAAACCATACAGCTGGTTTTTTGGGGAGTGAGGGGCAGCCGTGGCACATGGGGGGTGCGGGGAATGTCCCTTCCTGGCTCACCCAGCCCAAATCCAGCCTGGTGACACCATTCTTGGCACTAAGGCGGCCGGCGGGCTGGCTTGCTCGTAGGGCAATTTGCAACCACAACTGCAGAAAGGCCAGAAAAACTCCGGTTCAAGGGGGTTTTTGCACACCCCCCCCGAGCATGAGGGGTGGGGAGCTGGCCAGGGGGCTGTAAGGAACCGGGCTGTCCCATGCCAGGGCAGCTTGTCACCAGCAGGCTCGCTGCCAGGCCTGGATGCGCTTCCCCAGCTCGTGTGATCCAGCGAGGTGTTTGCCTTGGCAAGGGCAGCCCAGGGCAGGTCCCTCTGCTGCGCTGTGGCTTCCTCAACTCCCCGACATGAGCGTGGTCAGGGCGGTGGCAGTGCTCCCAGGTCCCTGCCCGTCCTCTGCGGAGGAGCACGGGGTGGCAGGCGAGCATCACCGGGGACCTGGCGTCAGGACGAGCTGCTGCAGCCAGCGCCGGAGACACAGGGCAAGCGGGACCACCCTACCGGAGCAGCCTGTCCCCGCCAGCCCTAAGCCCTTCGCTTGGGGCTATGCCTGTCCCATACCCCCAGGCAGAGCCTCTGGGTGGTCCAGTGGGCCCACAGCCCATGCTGCTTGGTGTAAATATCTATATCACCAGCCCACGAGAGCAGGGGATGCGGGGATGCTGCTCTGCCCACCGGCCAGGGGAAAGGTGCAGAGAAAAATCCCTTTCTTGGAAATGTGGTGCCCCTGGGGCTGATGCCCAGGGCTGGTGCAGTGCACGAACAGGGCTTGGCCGACAAGACTGAACCAAGGGGCCGGTGACTGCATCATGAGCCAAAAAAACCCCCTCCCTACCAATCCCTCGCACTGGTCCCAGCCCTACCCGCAGACCCCAGTGGGGTCCCATTACCCCGAGCATCCCTCCAAGGGCACCCCTGGCCCCAGCCCCGTGCAGCCCTGCGTACGGGGCCATAGGTTTGGGCAGTGCCCAGAAAATCTGTGCTGACTTTATCCTTTTTTCTGACAGAGCTATAAATGACCCAGCTGGGCAGTGGGATGCAAAACTACGCCAGGGCCAAAATAAGCTGAGTTGGGTCGCTGAGGAATTATAATTACCTGCTCAAGAGACTCCAAGCGCATCGGGAACTGCCCAGGCGTGTGGCCCCACTGGCCAGACTCTAAAAAAAAACCCAAACAAATAGCAGTACGGATGGAGCGAGCCAGCGACACCCACGGGTGTCTGTGTCACCGGCGACGCCAGGAGCGGGCATTATTAGCCCCTGTCCCGAGATGGGCTGTTTGGGGGCAGAGACTGCCACACTTCTGTGGCCACAGCTCCAGGCGCTCAGCCCTGCCCATGCAGCCAAAAAGCCTGTGGAAAACTGGGTTTCCTTTTTTGGTGGTTTTTTTTTTCCTTAAAACAAGAAAAACAAGTTGAAAACAAGCTCACTCCTGGCAAGCTCTGGACTCCCTGCAGCCCAGGGAAGGACTGAGCCCGGGGGCTGGCAGCATCCCACTGGGATGAAGGACTGGACCACTGCTCCAGGGCTGCAGCCGGGGCTTGGTGGCCAGATTAGGGATGCGGGGTCAGCGCTGGACACGGCTCCACACGGC